CTCGTTATTCTACTAGATTTTCCAAATTTTAATTTTTTTAAAACAAATTTATAAATCTTTAAAACTTATTAAATCTAAATTTTAAATCTATAAATCAAGACTTTAAAGGCCTTTTAAAATATAAATCAGATTTTTAAAAAATTCATATAGAATTGTTCTAAAATATTTTTCAAACTTTGCATCAAATCAGCATAGAAATAAAAACAATTTTTGTAATCTGCAACAACTAAACATAAAATTAGATTAAATCAATTAAAAGAAGCTCTGATGCCACTGTTAGGGGTTTGAAACAAGTTAAGGCAAATCATATGTAGCGAAATATCAAAAAGTTTTCATCCCCCAAGCCATGGATCACTTTAATTGAAATTAATCTAAAAAACCTACAACAAAAAGATTTTGGCATATACTTGAAAGTGTGACGTCTACTTTCCGTTGGTGGAGTCCTCTTTGGTTTCTTCTCTTCTTGTACATCAATTAGAACTTTTCAAACCATAGCAGCACAATTGTCTTGCCTCTAAAAGATCCTTTTATAGAGTGAATTGACATACTTCATGTCCTATAAGGATTAGAAAATGTTTTGGACTAATTAGGCATAATTGGACCTTTGTTTAATTATATAAATTTAATTAACTTTTGGATTTATGTGTAACTAGACCCAATTGTATTAAAACACATAAATCAAGTCCAAAACAAAGCTGAAGGGATTAATTCATGCTAGGCCAATATCTTTAGCCCAACCAATTGAAATCACAAATCCCATGCTTTACGGATTTTGTTGATTTCTCTTTTGTTTTATAATTCATCAGATCATATTTGATTTAGCCTAATACTTAATCGGGTAGCCTCTATAAAATCAATTAGATCACATCCAATTGAACTTAAATTAATTTTGATAATTCACCTTATATGTGAGACCCATTAGGCTTCTAATTATGTTGGCAATGAGTATAATTGTAAACCTAAATCGTATTTAGAATTAGATTAATAAAATCTCTATTTACGTAATCTTTAATTTTATAATTAATCAATCTATACTCATAGACAAAGATTGGTGTTTGGCAACACATCATGGCCCTCAATTATTAGAAAGCTCAATGTGAGTTGACCAACCTAGTCAATGCACAATTTATCTATGTAATTCAATCCCTTTATCATGTATCCCAAAATGAGTAAAAATCATGGTTCAGTGTTTTTTTTTATGTCTTTCCATGTTAGCTACTGACCCTGAAATTTGCTCAATGAAAATTCCATGAAAACTCGTTTTTCTTGAGTCTTCATTATACCTTGGCTAAGGATTTGTATAAGAGCAAGTACAAGTCAACTAGTCTATGAGATACTTCGCATTGCTTGTCACTTAGGGTGACAATTCCTTTTTAGACAATTCATATACCTTCATATAATTCATACTATACCCAACGATATACTTTTTAGGTATCCTTGATTAGGACCTAGAGAGGTGAAATCAAAGTATAACACTCCTTATACAAGATAACAATGGTGTCACAAGTCTAAGGATCATTTATACAACTGTCATTAGAGAATTATCCCTATAAACATTTGAGTGAGATATCAAATGGAATTCTCTTGTCAAGTCATGTTAAATGAACTTATTCTAGATTGAACTAGCACCCACGTGTTCGTTAAAAGTATCCTTATACTATCAATCTAAAAGATCTATTGCCCACCAATGTGAGGATCATAACATATGCCAGCCTTCGAGCATTATAGATGCCTCATCTCTATAATACAATGGCTAAGAACATTTAAGATATATGTTTTGATGCATAAGAGTATCATAATTGTAACTCTTTACAATTTTTTTGTAAAGCATAAGTTTATCTAAGGGGTTTATTCAATAAGTGAATGGTAAACTATATCACATGCATTGACTTATTGATAAAGTGAATACATCAATATTTATTAATAAAAAATAAAAAAATCCAAAATATAAGAAACAAAGTGTATGTCTAATCCAATTCAATTGGCTTTTAGGACATACACTTACAAATCTGGATCCGCCATTGGTTCAATGATTATGTGCAGAATGCCAAAAAGATAACTAAAAAATAAAAATAAAATTTTCAGGCATATGAGCCATGGACATTTCACATGGTTCATTCACACATCGATTTGAAGGCTTTCTTGTGGTTCCATTGAATCAGATAATGATTTACCTTTTGTCTCCGGTAGAAACAATACAAGCAGCCCAGAGACAAATAGACAACATCCAAACAACCCATAAGATAAGAAGTTGAATCCTCTTGCAACAGAAATTAAAATAGGAGAGATGACTCCCCCTAGGAGGTGTGCCTGCCCCACGGTCGTTGTTGCAAAATTGCGCACGCACGTTGGGAACAACTCGATACCATAAACAAGTAGGATATCATAGGCTGTGTAGATTCCAAGGAATGAACAAAGCTCAAGTGCTACCTGGGGAACCTTGTGTCCTCTACCTACCACCCAAGTTAAGATGCAACAAATGCCTCATACCCGAGACGTTGATAGAAAGGAGCTCTTCCTATTGCATTTCTCAAGCATGAAAAAGGTGATTAGAAGCAAACCCATTTCTGTTAAACTGTTGAAAATGGCACTCAAATACAAGTTAAAATCCAA